ATTTTTAAGCAGTGACACACTACCCAGACGTCTACAGTGCAAGGTTCTACAATGTTCTGAGAGTGTCATCGGCTTTACTTATCTCTAACGCAGATTAATGCCGTTTGTTTTGGGGGTTGAATGTCTCCAGGCCCAATTGTCCAACACCGCGAACCAACAGCATATTTTTACGCAATAATAAATAACTCAACGACATTCTACGAACAACGTGGGAGCTTATATTTTGGACGATTGGGGGTGTGTCGTTGCATCGAAATAGTTGGATAAACCCGACGAAACTACTAAGGACAATGTGGAAGCTTACATCCCAGACGCCTGTGCTGTAGTGTTGCGTGTCGTCGCATTAATTTGGGCCCACGGAAATCTAAGGGTTAAGGTGCTATCAGCTGTGACCCATCAACGGTAGTGATCTTTGGAGCATAAGTCGGGATTGAACTTTTCTAAGATGAAGGTAATTGCTAGTAGCACCGACACCCTTGAAACATTATTGAAAAAAAGGTTAAGCAAGGGCTACAGCAACGCAATGGATAGCATGTGAGCCGCGAAAAGGGCTACAACGGGTTCAAAGCAATCTCAGGTTTCAGGCTTCGTTCGTATATCGGCATCTTTGTAACTGTACCTCTTCACTGTACTCTGCATTGAAAAACTAATAGATAGTAAACAAGAATCAAACATTGCAATAAAAAAAAATAGTTTTAATGAAACCGGCAAAACCAGCCTCTAAAGTGATCGCCTTTCCTACCATGACATCGGCTTCGTCGAGGTTTTCCAACTCCGTCAACTCGTTTTCGACTTGAATTCTCGATTGATCGCACTAGAACAAGACTAAGAAACAACTATTCAGAAGTTTTTCATATTGAAATTTGAGCTGTGGTCTTAAGAAAACACTCGAAACGAAGGTTATTATGTATTGAATGTACTAGCCACGAGCAATCGAGTGCACAACACTCTGTGTTCGGTGAGTTTTTCACTGGACATAGAGTGTAAAGCGTTCGTCGTTGCTAACTCTTAGTGTTGGGACTGGAGCTCCCACAGAGATTAGCAAAAGACGAGAAAGGGTAACTGCCCGACTGACGAGATCGCAAGATCGAAACACGTGTATCGGGCTCTACAAGGCAGCCCTCCTTTAACAGACCACTGACATGCGTGGCTTAAAAATGACTACAAGGCATATTGAAATTTGAGCTGTGGTCTTAAGAAAACACTCAAAACTAAGGTTATTCAGAAGTTTATAGTAATGTACACAATGTCTTAGTCTGAGCAACAAAATTCGCACAATAGCTTCTTACTGTTCCACTGAAATGAAATGAGAAAGCACATTTAGTAGCTTCATCTTACCAGAGAATCAGCGACAATCTCCTCTTCAACTCGCCTAGTCATATCATGCAGTTCAACCATTTCCAAGCCTTCCTCGTCCTCTTGTTCTGGATCCAAAAAGAAGTGTGAGTGTGCTCAAAGAAGCATATCAAACGCCGCTCACCTACAATGTCGTCGTTCGTCCTGCCACGACTTTCCGACAATGGCAGGACTTTTGTGGTGATTACTGGCTCGGTCGTATCGAATACCACATGGAGACGAGCGACAATTGTCTAAACCGAGAGAATCTTGGGAAAAGCACACCATAAACATTGTGTGTTACTCGTTTTAGAAGAAACAAATGGAAGAACTACCTTTAGAATAGAGAACAGAACCCCGATGAAACATGTGTATCCGAGCAAAAGCGATAAGGAGAGAGCTCCGGACGTCACTAGTCCAACCACAAGTGGAACAATGAGCAGCACCAACCAAAGGTACAGGTGCACTGTGTTACAAAATATTGAATGTGCAGGCTCGTAGTACCTGAAAAAGTAGACGAAACGTATAAGATACTCTCCGCTACTGAAGTAATTTTAAGATTATAGTATTTCTACTGCTTATTTCGCAGTGCTATGATGTTACTTATATAACTTAAAGAATTGAGTGGTGAGCAAAAACACGGCCTCAGGCGGGAACCGAACCCGCGTTTCATCCTATCCGGGGACGCGTGCTCTAACCACACCACACCACCGAGGCACATTTGCCCGACCATTCATTCTTCAACATCTCAGTGTCAGCTTAGCGGGATTTATAAAGCGAAATCGCAAATCCGACAAAACCTGTTGAACGTTGGTGGCTGATAGCTAACAGAGATGTTGAAGAATAAGTGGTCGGGTAAATGTGCCTCGATGGCGTAGTGGTTACAGCACGCGTCCCCGGATAGGATGAAACGCGGGTTCGATGCCCGCCTGAGGCCGTTTTTTTGCTCACCACTTAATTCTCTAAGTTATAGAAGTAACTTTTTGTAAGAAAAGCATTAATGAAGATTTGTTGAATCATCCTGACTTTCAAGTCGCCCCAAGTTCCGAAAGATGCCTTTATGTAGTGCCACACGTAGCCCAAGCCAGTTGGGTGTATGTTCGTTTACCCAATTTTGAGGTTACGTGAATAATTCGGAATTAGCCATGCCGTGTTTTGGGCGAGAAACGGGCCCATAGCTACTCAAAAAACTCACCATCCACCGGTTAGTGAGGCCCAAATTCCTTGCCGAAGTATTTCGGCGATATGTGTTGTGACAGTCATCACGCTCTCTCCATTATCGAGCTTTGATCTGCTGGTAAAACCCTACCGACCTCTACCATTAGCTCATCACCTGAAAAATACCGACATATGACAGCTCGCTCCATAAGTTTTGGGACTAAAGCAATATACACCAAATTTATAAATCAAAAGAAATTAAAATGGGATGAATTTGATATCGTTCAACTGCCCATTTTCTTGTGATTATTCTGGCATACAACTTGCCCATATTTGCTTCAAGTGGTTGGCTTCCACAGACCCTAACTGGATGTGCCCGCCCGCGTTGGAACGATTCCACCTCCTCGGCTAAACCGGTCGCCCACTGTAGTACCAGTTTTCGTTGCAAGACCCGTCGCTAAGATCTGCATGGGTCTTGCAAAGAAAAGCAATACTGCAGTCGGCGATTGATCGGGCAGTTGAGATGGAGTCGGTCCCACGCTAGCGGAGACGCCCAGTAAGAGTTTGCGGAAGTCAACCGGTTAAGATGGAGCTGTTGTGGGAACAAATTGGCTTGGTACTCATGCACGAGTGGCGCGTAGGAGAAAATGCTATTAAAGCGGCGCGCAAGATTAACGGAGCTTTGGGCAATGTTACGGATGCAAAAAGGACGGCTAGGAAGTGGTTGGCGAAGTTCAAAGCTGAAGAGAACACTCCGAACGATCACTCGCACTCGAGTCATCCACAGGAGGCTCCATTAACCTTGAGCGCCGTTTTACTAGCATTTTTCCCTAGTTAACTTCCGCGGACCCAAGCTGAGCATGTCCGTCAGCGTGTGCTGTTAGTCTGGTACATCGATTTCTGAAAGCCTTTGATGTTCTATCAACACTGACTAGGGCAGGTTGGGGAAAATGCCATTGAAGCTGCGCGCAAGATTAACGGAGCTTGGGGCAATGATACGATGGCAAAAAGTACGGCTAGGAAGTGGTTTTGGCGAAGTCGAAAGCTGGAGAGAACAGTTCCGATGGGTCACTCGCATTCGAGTTGTCCACAGGAGGCTCCATTAACCTTGCGCGCCACTTTACTAGCACAATCCCCTACGCGCCATTCGTGCATGAGTAGCAGACGAATTTGTTCCTACATCAGCTTCACCGTAACCGGTTGACTTCCGCGGACCCAAACCGAGCATGTCCGTCAGCGTGGGAACGACTCCACCTCTTCTGCCCAGACAAGTCGGCAACTACAGTATTACACTTGTGGCATGACCCACAACGGAATTTCGGACTGGCTCGCCGACGGTCTTGCAACGAAAAAGAATACTGTAGTCGGCGACCGATCGAGTAGAGGAGGGGGTGGTCCTGTAGTGGGTCCGCGAAAGTCGACCGATTGAAGGAACTGCAGACAAGTTGTATATCAAAATGTTCACCAGAAAATGTGCAATTTAACGATGCCAAAATCATGCAATACTAATTATTTCTGGCTTATTAATATGGTGTTTAATGTCTAGCGTCAGAACTTATTGAACGATCTATTAAATAAATGTGAAAAGCAGCAGGAAATAAAGCAAAGAGAGCAAAGCGTAGGAGTAAGGGTAATGAAACAAAGCGATAAAAGGAAAGCACGACGATGGCTCAGCTTGCAGAGCTGGGAGGGGGGCATTAACTAGGCCCTAATTTTTGTGACGTCATGTGACGTCATCATATAGAACTTGGCAGATTTTAAAAATAAGTGATAGCACGGAATTCGAATAAAACTCATGACTAGTTACCGATGGAACAGCAGGTTCTTTTCCGTTAGACGGCATACGATGAAGAAACGAACCCCTTCGCTGAACAGAGACTCTTCCTGGGAGTGCAAGTAACCATTCGAAAGCTTGAATCTTGGGCTAGCGCGGTAGGTGGTCGGTCTTCGAAAAAGCCTTTCCATAACGCTGTGGCATTCGAAATAAAATTACATTTCACAGCCTCCGCGCGCTTTCATTTTTCTCACGTGTGTAACCCGTGGGTCAGCAGCCGGCCAGGTACAGCGGATAGCCAGAGGTTTGAACTTTCGAATGATTACCAACACTCTTATGAAATGTTCTCGTCCAAAGAAAGGGATAGGTTTTTCCATAGCGTGACGTCTGACGGAAAAGAACCAAACAACGACCGATATAGAAGAAAGAGTGATACGCAGGGATGGCCTCGATGGTGTAGTGGCATCGCTCATTTCGCGATTGGCCAGGAAGGTGGTTCAGTTCCCGCCTGGGGTAGAATGTGCGTATCATTCAACACCTTTGGACACATAATTATAACAGAATAACTGCTATGAGACCGGTAAGATCCAGATTCCTGTAAGCGACTGATAGAGACAAAAATTGCATCAGTCGTGATTGAACCCGGGACCCGTGTTGTCCATACGTCGTCTCAATTAACTCACTGTTTCCCTGACGAGTAAACAGCCGTCGATATGATTTATGTTTTCTAAGGGCGTCAGTAGCTCAACGGGTTAGAGCACGCGCTCCCGCATAGAGGTGGGACGCGGGTTCGAGTCCCGCCTGATGCGAAAGTTTGCAGATCTCCCTACATCATTTGGTATATTTATGCTTTCGAATTTTTTTTATCCCAAATTTTCCTATAACCTCGTTTCTGCTTACGAAGAAATCAGTGGATTATTAGATCGATACCGTGATGAGTTGGAATGTGTGGGGTCCTCAAAGCGCCGTCCCTTTGCGCTATGCAGTTTTGAGAGGAAATACTTCATCTAAGCGGTCGGAAAAAGGAACCATGTCTCAGTGGTGAGCGACTCAGTATAGCAGGAAGTAGCAACGCCCTGGTTCGATCCCCTGCCTCGGCACATTTTTTGATCAATCAAATGAACGTCCGCGGGAAAATGCTTTAGCTGGGAGGCTTCCATGATTGCCCGAAGAGGCGTTCCAAGCAAAAAAAAAAGCAATAAAAAAACCACCCGTCCGAAGTCACCAACACCGATGGCTCTATGTCAATAGTCCGTAAAAGTAGAAGTCTGCAATAGTTCGTCGGGGAGATGTTTCGGCACGATGACGTAGCGTCTAAATCGTCGTTCTCCTCCGGACGCGTCCAGGCTCGATTCCATTCAGTTGCCGGTTGCTTTGTATTTATGTTTCTTTTATATCAAATAGTTTCATGTATTTTTTTACTTTGGAGTGGCTATGTGGCGCAGTGGCCAGAGGTGCTCTGCTGCGCACACGAGGTTGATGGTTCCATCTCGCGCTCACACTCACTGAGCCATCCATCCTTCCGGGGTCGCTAAATTGCTGCCAGACTGTTCTCAGACTTGTCTGGGTGTATAAACCGAACTGACTCGGTATAGCGGGCGGCGACCGCGAAAATCATGCATTCAGTCACCTCAAACGAAGTTAAAAACTGAAGGCAAATGCATGGCACATTCTCCAGGGATTTATCAACGCCGAGAGCTTGCTTTCATTTTTATATCATCTAGTGGGTTATGAGAGGGGAGGGGCCGTGGCCGAGTGGTATTGACGCTCGTCGCGGCGCTCGCAGGCTAAGCTCGGCCCCCATCACTCGCCGACGCTCAGCAAGCCCATGGAACGCCACAGCTTGGCTATCCTCGAGATTGCGAGGAGACCCGCTCAATCAGTATTCTACGACTTTCAAGTAGAAGACGGAAAACGATTGATTGCTGAAAGTACTGCGATCCACTCGGTGGAAAAAGCAGTGTCAAGACGGATCAATAAAGTGTCCAAAGTTTGTATCCAGAAATGTTCCTTCGTCTAACTACTAGTTTTCCAGTACTAGCAGTAGTAACCGTCGATCTCCACGTCATTGATCTGTTGTCTTCCAGTTGGGGCGGATCCCTCAGAGATTGATCGAGCGTCCCAAGATATGTATCCTTTTTGATCTTCCATTTACTTGGATACTTAGACGGCCCGTCTTCAGTGAGAGTGGGAGCTTCAGCACAGGAAGAACTGTGCTGGTATAGCTGTTTTGCTATCTGGAGTCCCGTGGTAGGCTTAGCCGAGGCTTCCTCACGCCTCCACCACATTAGAGCGGTCGCCGGCCCTTGTGGGTTGAAGGAAAATGACCACCTTGTGTCTAGTAGCTACTGGAACGGCGGCCATTCCTGATACGGTTCACTCATCTGGGGCTTTGCGAATGGGAACGTCGGATTCTTCCTCAACTGCGATGGCCCTGCTGGGGATCAAGCCCCCTCCCCCTACTGTATTTTGCATTCCGACGCCCAGGAACACCTCCTATCCACGATGATACGGTGAACCATTTTAGAGGTACTCTTTTATTCATCGCGCAAAATATTTATTTTCTCTTCATTTCCGCTATCCAACAGCGGTTTCATTTTGAGCTTTAGAGAAGCGTAAGATTTTGAGAGAAATCTATTACATAATCCGGCGAATCTTACCACTTTAAGGTTCCGTATCAGAAAAGTCTTCCCACTGTACAGGTCTCAGTGCTTCTAGCATTTGATTCGCCTCCTCACTTGCTGAAGGATGTCTTCTTTTTCATGAAAGTCGGAATACAATGATCTAGCACTTTTCCTTGCAGTCTCAAGGATAGCCAGGCCGCGGAATGTTCTCATAGTGCTTAGTTACTGATTGCCAGCGAGTGTTGAGAGGGAAAGGGATCCATCACGCTTCGAGCCGAAGAAACGGCTAATAGTGGTGAATAGACTGAAAAATGATAAACAATTTGAGAGGTTTCTTCACACTACCCTGTGTCCTACTATACACAGTACTAATATATTCGTTTTAGTACAGTAATTCGTTTATCATTGCTGATCTTTCGTCCAAATCAGTCCCTTTTCCTCAACGCCCTGCTTCTCTTCGACTCCTCTAAGGGCATAGTATCGCTTTTTTCTAGCCATTTTCAACTTTAAACTCCTTTTTTGACGTTAAAAAGGATGTTTAGATGCTTGACGAAGGTCTTCCGTTTACGGTGTACGCATATTTCTCCTTCTAGTACTTAATGAACTTGTTTTCTTCCGCTTTTCATCGCAAAGATCGACTGTTGCGCAATAATTTTTGACATTTTCAGCTTAGAGTTTCTTTTGACGCGGTCAGAAGTGAATGGTTCGGATCTCTGAGGGAACCCTTCCAAGTACTGAATGCTTGGCACTTCTCGTCCGAGTACCTGTTGACCTCGTTTTCTTAAGCTCATCACGGCGATGACTGAGTGTTTCAGTAAAACGCGACATTTCCAGCCAAGAACTTTTCACTTTTCTCACTTCCCTTACCCTCCTGCTTACCTTCTTCTTACTTATCTCTTAATAGCTCTCCCAAGCCTCAGATACGAGAGAAATTCATGAGACATTTCCTATGTTCATCTCTCACTCCGACGTCTAGTGAAAGTCGATTTTCGATTCGTTATAACGCCTTATTGCCGTCAAGATGAATGTTTTAGATGTCTGAAGAAGCTCCTCCGACTACCACTACGACTCCTACTCCCATTGCTTCTAGTAATGAGAAAAATCTTGTAGTCTCTTTTATTCAGTTCATAAGACATAAGGTCTCAACAAACAAATGCACAGAAGACCAAGTCGAGGCATTGGAAGGTGGGTAGATCATCTTCGTCTTAAATCTTTCAGGATTGGATATTTAACGTGATCAGAATTTTCTAACAACGCGGAAATTAGCGCAGCACTGGCACGGGTAATGCAGTGGTAGCACGTGCTATCGGAATGGATGAAAAGCGGTTTCAACTTCCGTCTGATGTCAGATGTTTTGCATACCACTCAGCACTTTTGGATATAAATCTCTAACCGACCTAAGTATCAGGGCGATTTGCTGTTGTTTGTCTTTCTTCTCCTATGAGAAAGTTCTCTCAAATAAATACTGCAGTAATTTAGTTGTAATTATATCGGATATCCAATTCCTGGATTGATCGAGATAAAACTGCGTGTCTTCTTTCAGTAATGTTAACCTTCGTGACCGTGAACTAACGGCCTCTGCATCTCTAACTGGCAACTCTGGACGTTCGGCTCCACCTCCTCTGCATCTCCAACCCCAGCGTGCCCTTGTGAGACGAATCAGCGTGCCATTGCATTACACGACGGCCTGCGATTGTTAAACGCAACAACCTGCCATTCTTAGATGCAGCTGCTTACCATTACTAGACGCAGCGCGCTGAGGGTTGGAGATGCAGAGGAAGTGGGGCAGACCGTCCAGAGTTGCCAGTTGGAGATGCAAAGGCCGTAGGTCCACGATCCCGAAAAAGTGAAGTGATTTGCCAAGCTTGAACCTCTGTCCAGGAGTTAAGCGCATGTGTTACCTTTACGAAAGGACGCGCTTATCACTGCATTGGAGAGGTTCTGTTCTGCAATCACTCTACCTGCGATGTCTTCTTTCAGTTGCTGTACAGTGTTTGGAGTCGGCCTTTGGACTTACAGATGCCAATTATGCCTTCCAGCCTTCTAAACCACTCTTAGATGTATTCACAGCCGCAGAGGGTCTGCCATCGGTTAGTGTTTTGTTTTCATGTCTTAAGGTACGTATTTGTCTTTGAAGTTTCTTCTTTCTGTTATAATTTCTAGAACATGAGTACCATAGATAGTGGCAGTCTCTTTCCAGGGAGAAAATGAACTACCAGAACCAACTCAAGCTGAAATTGACGAAGCTAATAAACTAAAGGAAGAGGTAATGTGAAGTGCTGTGCTGGGATCCGATTTTTGAAGGAATAGTGCAAATTTTCGATGATTGCTGTAACTTTTTCTTCAAACGTTTTACAGGGAAACGATTTGATGAAATCATCTCAGTTTGATGCAGCTGTTAGTAAATACAACGAAGCAATCAAGCTTAACAGGGATCCTGTCTATTTTTGTAACAGGTTCGTATGGCATTTGTTCATCTTTAATACTTAACCTGGATGTGATCCGTTCAGTATGATATTTTGAGGACAATGGAAATTTAGAGCTGCTGCGTACTGTCGTCTTGAACAATATGATCTTGCAATTCAGGACTGTCGAACCGCCCTAGCTCTTGATCCAAAATACAGCAAAGCATATGGAAGGATGGGGTGATTTTTTTTTTATTTATTTTAGAGTTTAAAGCATGTTTTTTCTATTTTCCTTCTTCGTGTCCAAGCATCGGTGCGCACGTATTCAGAGATATCATCTTTTTGATGGCCAAGTCAGTGACGAAGAATTTGGATGTAATTCTAAAGGGGTGGTGCAGTAACTACTCCTCAAAACTGTCAAGTTTTACTCCTCTAAGGGCCTCACTTTTTGAAAGATTTCCATGGTTTGTCGATCCTGCACGGTGCGACTGTGATGAGGTTTTAGGGTCATAACAGGGTGCAAAAAATTGTAAATGTGATGACCTGTGTTTGCAGCTTTGCAGAGTCGTTTCAAAGGCGTCCATTAAGGACCTGTTTTTGAAATAAAAATCATGTAGTGTCAAACGGTTATGTAACTTCACTTTCCTCTCTCATTTCATTGAACCTCGTTCATTATTATTACGTTTTCTCGTAAATTTTGACACTAGAGCCATATACACCTGATTTATTAACAGAGGCTTTTAGCTGGATCGTTAATAGTCGTTCCATAGCCGAAATCTC